TTCACGTTCGTATGTTGTATAACTACGTCTTCTTTTTCTTCATTCGATAGTTTTGGGTGCAAATTTCGTTCCACAGTAACTGGGATAGTCTACAACAACGAGATGGGTGATTTTTCTACACCAGGCCAGCTAAACCCAGACGAGATCAAACCGTCCAAGAGCAACTATATCAAGCCTGGAAAAAGACCCCAGTCCTCCATTAGCCCTGTTATTTTCACTGACGGAAGTGGCAGAGTAAAACTGGTGGCTGGCGCGTCTGGAGGACCGCACATTACAACAGCGGTTTCTCTCGTAAGTTAAAATTAAGACATTCCAAAAAAAGCCATATCAATCTTGTCTCTTAAAATGCAAAATAATACATCGTTATTTGATCTGCTGAGAATTATTATTTTCTACATACTTTTGCAGACGGTTGTGAATCAGCTGTGGTTGTCACGTGGCATTTCTAACGCTGTCAACGATCCACGAGTCCATCATCAACTCTTTCCAAATACGGTCATTATAGAGGAACCCCCCTACACCATCCCCATACGGATTCAAGATGGTTTAAGAGCCCGCAAACATAATATCACAATAGAGAGTTACTTTGCATCTGTGCAGGCGGTTGTTCGAGAAAAAGATGAAGAAATATTTGGGAAAAGTGATCCGAGAAAGTATGGATGGCCAGACGGCTTCTAAACTGATAACAAACTCTGATCTCTTCTCAGACTATACACCAGTTTTACCAAAGATTATCAGGTATTTTTTGACATACCACATAATTTTTGGCCGTTGGGGACATTTCACGCTTTGTCAGACCTTTACTCACAGATGGAAGTTTTAAGATCTATGATAATAAAACTAATTTCTTGTAACTCAGAGTGAATCTCGTTCTTTCGTCTTTCAATCTTTATACCGCTTGTCTGGAAGGCACAACGGAGCCGATTCTCAAAATAACTGCTCCTTATTCTCAGGTCAACTGTCAATGTTAATGCCGCTTGCTATTCCTTTGATGGGATGCATCCAACACACGCTTCTCGAAATACACTTCACTAGAAGTATACATCTATCCATAGGGATTCGCGTAACGCTATCGCCTTTCTGTTTACTGCAATTTATGGTAAAGATGTCACATAACAAAGTGTCACGGAAACCTTTGTCCTGGAGAAAAGGGAAGAGATGAAATTCAGATTTCCGCCAAAGATAGTGATGTAATGCGAACATTTTCCATATTTATTCCTATTGCTTTTTTGTCATTAAAATCATAAAATAAAATTTGTAAAACTTGAAAGGAAGACTCAGAGGGCGTCTTAAAAAAAACTCATTAATCTGCTAGAGATCTACTATAATCCTTTGCTTTATCAGTTGAGGGAGGGCAAGAACAAGAAGTCATGTTAATAACGTTAACTGCTGACAACTCTTCACTACTGCCCTCTGCATAAGATAAAGTATCTACAAACCTAGAATGTAATGCTGTCACAGAACACAATTTTCTCACTCAAAAATTGTAAGTCATAAACAGTTTCGATCCTCCTTTTCCTTTATCGAATGTTATTGCTTTTGCTATAAAATTTGTTTGTGAGGAAAAAAATCTCAGACACCACTCAGTAAGTGGGGGGGAAGAGGGAGATTAGTGGGGGAAGTGAGGGAAGAGGAGACCCATTGTCAAATTAAAACAAGTACTGGAACTATTTAAGCCGAGACTGTGCATTACGAGTAAACTTAAGTAAATGATTTAGATCGATTTTCAGAATAAAATTCTATGACTGAAATAAAACTGCTAGGGATAAATTCCAAAGATTTTTGTATATTCACAACAATTCCATACAAACAAACAAACCAACAAACGTTTCTAGATTTTCAGAGTTCATTCTAAAATAAAAAAATGTATATCATTAGTGAAACAAAATGGTTAAAATATTTCCATGCATCTCTATCTAAAATACAAATGAAAATACCATTCGCCGGCCACGAAATTTTCTCTATCCAAATAACCCATTTTGTCTTTACTCTTAAATTTGTAAGAGTCAAGATATGATTCTTAAATCTTGAAAAAAATCATCTTAAGGTTTTTTCAAGAGTGGCATTTGTAAACTGTGTGACTTGTTCCATTTCTATTTCCTTTTGCCTCACTGGCTTTTGCCTTCCTTGACAAATTAGTCTCTTTAACACCGCAATACGAGCCTCCCCACCCACCCCCTACTCCTCCTATAACGTTACAGTTTGACCAATATTTGGGAATAAAATATTTACGTAACAATGCAACAACAGACAATCTGAATGACGGACGATTAGAAAAAAACCATGGCAAAAACCAAGGAAAATTACAATTCTTGTCTACCTGAGCTTACCAAAACCACAAAAATAACTCTTCTGCATTCAGGACAGAGTAGAGCATTCGTTCGTAAGATCTCGTTCAAGCAGTGAAGACAGAAACTGTAGCTGTAACTGTTTTGGTTCAGCAAATATGGTCATACACATGGAACACGAGACTTCTTCGTGAAGATTGTCAAGCAAGGTTTTAATAACTATGTCTGAGTACAAAAATAGGTCCGCAATGCGTACATGTGTGGC